CGGAACACGAGTAATGGGAAACCTCAATGCACACTGATAGCTGCGAAGACAAAAGTAGCACCGTTGAAACCCCTCTCAATTCCGAGGCTTGAGTTGCAAGCAGCTTTGATCGGTTCACGACTGCTGGACAGCGTTTGCAAGGCACTGACATTGCCAGTGGCCGCTCGATTCCTCTGGTCAGACTCGACAACCGTTCTCGCTTGGCTGAAGTCCGAGACTCGACGATATCATCAATTCGTCGGCTTTCGAGTAGGAGAAATTCTGAGTACGACTACCGTTGATGAATGGAGAAAGGTTCAATCGAAGGTAAATGTAGCGGATCAAGCAACGAAGTGGAGAGACGGACCCAGTTTTAGACCCGACGACTGGTGGTATGTAGGGCCGGCTTTCCTGATGAAACCGGACGAGAGCTGGCGAAAGGAAAATTCAGAGGATTATTCGACAGCAGAGGAACTACGGACAGTCTTTCTACATCATCGAGTCATATCGCCACTGATCATAGATGTTCAGCGATTCTCAAAGTGGTCGAGGCTTCAGCGGACGACCGGATACGTTGTTAGAGCGACGAAGGTGTTCCTAGGCCTGAACGCTGAGGGCCCACTTACGCAAGAAGAGCTGCTGAAGGCCGAAGCCATGATCTTTCAACAGGTGCAAAAACATGCATATGCGGATGAATACGTCACGCTTAGCTACAACAATGAGCACCCAGACGCGGAACCGAAGCAGATCGCAAGATCGAGTGCATTGTACAAGTTGAGTCCGATGCTGGACGACGATGGAGTTCTTCGGATGAATAGCCGTATCGCAGCAGCACCGATGGTAACCAAGGATGCGAGATTTCCGATCTTCCTCCCCAAGGGTCATCGGGTGACGGAATTGCTCGTAGAATGTTATCATGTTCGTTTTCTACATGGAAACCACGAAACGGTAGTCAACGAGATAAGACAGCGGTTTCGGATTCCCCAACTTCGCTCGGTGGTTGCGAAGGTAGTTAAGCAGTGTCAGCATTGTCGTGTTCAGAAGGCAGCCCCAAGGGCACCGATCATGGCACCTCTTCCTGAGATCCGGCTGACTGCCTTTATACGACCATTCACACACACTGGGGTGGACTACTTCGGTCCCGTCTTCGTAAAACAAGGACGAAGCACGGTCAAGCGTTGGGTAGCGCTCTTCACGTGCCTGTCAATCAGAGCAGTGCATCTCGAGATCGTCCACAGCCTGTCCACCCAGTCGTGCGTGATGGCCATTAGAAGGTTCGTGGCACGCAGGGGTTCACCAGCAACGTTCTATTCAGACAATGGAACCAACTTCGTAGGGGCGAGCAACTTGCTTAAGGAGCAGCTCAAGGCAATCACGGAGCATTGCGCTGTAACCTTTACGAACGTGAGCACGAGATGGCTATTCAATCCACCCCTAGCGCCACACATGGGAGGACCGTGGGAGCGCATGGTCAGGTCGGTTAAGGTGGCAATGGCGGCGATCGCAGATCATCCACACCACCCCAGTGATGAGGTCCTGGAGACTGTTGCGCTCGAAGCCGAGTCGATAGTCAACTCAAGACCGCTAACGTACATCCCTTTGGATCATGCGGATCAAGAGGCCCTCACACCGAACCATTTCCTGCTCTACGGGACACAAGGCATCAACCAACCTAGTCGGGACCTACAGCACGAGTATGCAACTCTGAGGGACAGCTGGAAGCTTTCGCAGTACCTGGTTGATATGTTCTGGAGCCGCTGGTTACACGAATACCTACCTACGCTAACACGCCGCACCAAATGGTTCCAGCCAGTAAAACCGTTGACGCCCGGTGACTTAGTGGTTGTGGTCGATGAAGGCAAGCGCAACGGATGGCTGCGAGGGCGAATTCTGGATGTCGTGACGGGAAAGGATGGGCAAGTTCGCAGAGCAGTAGTGCACACTTCCCGGGGAATGGTTAGTCGACCAGCAACCAAGTTGGCGTTGCTGGAAGTTCGTGAAATGCCTGAAAAATCGGAAGAGAAGTGTTCGAGTGAACCGGAACTACACGGGCGTGGGAATGTTGGCGAACCCACTGGGCAGACTCCGCCGGCTGTCAAGTGAGTCCCGGTTACACCCTTTGTGATTTGTGTGGTCGAGTATAAGTGGCAGTGGATTAACTGTCAAGAATAATGATTGGAACGGAAGAAAAGAGAGGTTGAAGATCATAAACAAAGTAAATTTATTGTGAAAAGAAATAAGATTTTGTTAGTTGGAAAATTGTGAAATTTAATGAAATTTAAGGTTTATTCATGGTTAAATTTATAAAACTATTGTATCGAAAAGGTAACTGCTGAAATTTAAAATGAAGTGTATCTATTTAATTTAATCATTGTTAGAAACAGATTCGTACGTGGGAAGTAGTGGAAGAAAGCTAACCTATAGGATTCGTGAAAATACCAAAATGTGAGTTTTTCTATACCTACCAAGCTAAAGCTAACACAAATAATAAAATTCCAGCTTTGAAGCTGCGCCAACCGGGCTGCTAGCAAAGAGGTGTTTTTGACCACGATACCGAAATACTTCCCCCAACAGCCTCACTTGAGTGAGCTGCAGTCAGTGAGGGCGGCTAAAAGTGCCTCATCAACTCATCGTTTCCGTTGGAATGATTATCCTCAATGTTAGACTTGTCCGTTTTTTTTTCAGTCATCTACAGTTTGGACAGTTTGAACTAATATCATATGGATCTATATTTAAGAAAATATTTCGAGACCAATTGAGTCATCGACATTTTTCATTTTAACAACCATGAACCACTCTATCCACCATCCTCATCGTGGATACACTTAAGGCACACACTAACACACTGAAACATTCTTTGAAGAACAAACTTCACTCCGCCCGCACCGTACGCACCAATCTACTTCGGTTCTAACACCCTCTGTTGGCGTAGTCGCACAATGTAAGATGATGTGGTGAACTTAATCATCATTAGCGCAGAAGCTCTACGTATTGCCTCCCAAGGCTTTGCCGAATGATAAATGAGTGAAATGAAAAAGTTTCTGCTCACAGCCCAGAACCACCCACCCACAGACTCACGTGCTCGGTCTCCTAAATCTGGCATGTGGGAAACTCCCCGAGGCATGATTTTTAGCATATTCACCCGGTAAATTCCGGGACATTTAGGAACGGCGTGGCTCCATGCGTTGAAGATGCTCCGGTTCGTATTTTCCAGATAGAGTTTCAAATTTCGGGAGGAAACCGCAGCCTCATTCCCAAAAAGGAACGCTCGTCTCATTTGCTCGCAGGTGACAAACCCTGTCAGCAAGAATTTCGCAAAAGAACGGATTATTAATTGTCAATGTCGAAAGTGCTTTATTGCAAACGAAGAGTTTGAAGACGGGGATTTGTTTGTTTTGAAAGTGGTCTTAACTTTACATTTTTCGACGGCTGTTGAAGAAGAAGATGCGAACTTTCCGAAAAATTACGTGCACTTTAGTTACATTTGTCAACTGTTGTTGACTCAAATCAATCATGATAACTCGAGCTGCGCAAGTTCATCTGCGAATAATTTCGACACCGCCACACTCAGCCAAATAGAATTGCCGCAATGCAATGATAATATCATATCCTAATGAACGTATTTATTTAATGGCAATCCTTGGCACAAAGCACCACAGTTGAATGTCGCGCGTATGTAGATCATTTGACAGTGGTTGTATAACAAATAATGGCAGTTTCATGAGACTTTCACGGCGACGGCGTTATGTTGCTGTGTAGGATGCCAGTGGACTGTATGCTCATAACTTTCCTCGGGTTGTGATTTTTCGGATAGGTGCCCGCTCCCCCTCTGGGATTGGGCCACGGATGGACAACGCCGATGGTTGCCTTCTCGGTGGAGGCAGGTCTGGTGACTGGCTGCCTCGGAAGCTTCACGCTTCCTCTCTGGGATGCCTCGCAAGGCTGGCGGAACGATGGATCTCCAAGGTGGCCACGGTTGGCCGGAAAATTCAAAAACATAAACTCTTATTGGCTCTGAAAAGAGCCGGTTGGTTGTGGTCGTGGCAAATGGAAAGGGAGCAAGTATCGGAGCAGAACATATAGGCACACACACTTCTTTACTTGTTCATGTTGTTGTTATTTCACTTTTTCTTCTACATTGATTTCTCTTCGTTTCTACACACTAACACTAGTACGCCGTCCGGGAATCGGGCCCTGCCGATTGGAACCGAACGACGATGACTGCTGCTGCTATTGTTGTTATTTGCTGCGCCGCGCCAAGCTGTCGCCGACCGACTGCTACTGCTCGGGTCAGGTCGATCTCGCGGCCGACTGCTGCTGCTGCTGCTGGCGATTCGTTTGCTTCTTCGGGTTGTCTCTTCGGCTCGATGTTTACTCTTTCGTGACTTGCGTAAAACTGCGTACCTGAGCGCACAGCAGCGCGTGTTTTTATATCTGCGTTGGTTCGGCTGCTGCGCTCTGATTGGTGGTCTTCGTGGCTGTCGGAAATTCCTCCTCTTCTTCAAACTTCAGCCCGCTGCCGGTGCACGGACTGAACATTCTCCCCCCGGGAAGTGTGCTCACCGCAACGTTTGGATCAGATGGAGTGAGGTTGTCAAGTATTGGTAATGGTGCTAATTTATGAATTGCTCGCTTATAGGTACCAGATTTCGTTTTAACGTCCACGACTCTAACTAAACCGTCCGCTCCAGGGTACACTGAAACTACACGGCCTAACTTCCAGTTTTGGGGAGGGATATTCTCTTCCTTCAACAAAACGACTAGACCAGGTTTAACATTTACTCGCTTTTGCGTCCACTTGCCTCGAACTTGTAGCTCTGTCAAATATTCCTTGGACCATCTGGTCCAAAATTGTTCACGCAGTTGTTGGACGTATTGCCATCGAGACAAACGGTTGGTTGGGATTTGGGTATATGACGGTTCCGGAACAGCATGGAGTGGACGTCCAATCATCAGGTGAGCAGGGGTTAATGCTTCAGGATCTTGAGGGTCGTTGGAGTGGGCGTACAAGGGCCTGGAGTTTAGGATCGCTTCAACTTGGCATAAGAGAGTGTAAAGCTCGAAAATTGTTAGAGATGCAGCTTGGTAGACCTTCTTCAGGACAGACTTTACGCTCTTCACCCCTGCCTCCCAGAGGCCACCAAAGTGGGGGGACCTAGGGGGAATGGTTCTCCAGGCAATCTCCTTCGTTTGGCACAACTCGAATAGTTTCTTCTGGGTAGCTTCGGTCTGGAACATCACGTAGAGCTCATGCAACTCTGATTTGGCCCCAATAAAATTGGTACCGTTGTCGCTGTACACTGTGTGTGGAGTACCCTTTCGCGACACAAACCGCTGGAATGCCGCCAAGAACGCCTCGGTTGAAAGATTCTCCACTGCCTCAAGGTGAATGGCTTTGGTCACCATGCACACGAAAATGCAAATGTAACTCTTAACAGGTGTAGCCTTCCGAGCCGTCTGCTTCACAAAGATAGGTCCTGCATAATCGACTCCTACTTGTGCGAAAACTGGTTCTTCGTTTACTCTGTAGGACGGAAGATCTCCCATCTGCTGATCGATCGTAGTTGGGCTGAGTCGGAAGCAATGGACGCAATTTCTAACAACTTTACGAACGGTCGACTTTGCGTTCAGCAACCAAAATTGCTGCCTCAGGATGGTAATCACGCTGGAGACACCCACGTGCATGTTCTCACGATGAGTTGCCACAAGTAGGCTCCGAATTACTGGACTCTTGTCAGGTAAAATCAGCTGGTGTTTGGTTTTATAGGGCAGTTGAGCGTGTCGAATTCTTCCACCCACTCGTAGTAAGCCGTTATCCAGAAAAGGATTCAAGCTGACAAGTCGATGATTGTTTTCACCTGCCTTGATTTTGTCTATTTCACGGGAAAATTCCTGCTCCTGGACGGCACCAACAATCTTCATCATTGCTCCTCGGAGCTCGGGAATGGTTGGATAAGGTGTAATAACTCGATCTTCCTTTTTCTTTCGACAGTTGGACAGAAACCGCAGAACATACGCCACAATCCGCTGCGTTTTACGAAAGGACTCGAACTTCGTCAGAACCGGAAACTCGTCGAACTTCATCACGATGTGGACTGACACTGTTGGCTTCATTTCTGGAATCTCGTCGTCACTCGGAAGGTCTGGAACTTCAGCTTCGTACAGCACCGAGCGAAGGAAGCTCGGCCCATTCCACCACATGTCATTCCTAGCCAGTTCAGTGGAAGATTGTCCTCGAGACACTGTATCAGCAGGGTTTGCTGACGTGCGAACATATCTCCATACAAATTGATCATGAGAAACAATCTCTGCCACTCGATTGCGTACAAACTCCGTGAGACTACTGGGTGGTTTGCGCAACCATGCTAAAACCACTTGGCTATCCGTCCATAAGTTGGTCGATGTGAACTTCATCTTCAAAGTTTCTTGGATTTTATTGATCAACCGGCAAAGAAGAAGTGCTGCTAACAATTCCAGTCTAGGAATAGTCACAGGAGAAATGGGTGCTATCTTGGACTTGCTGGAAATTAACTTCATAGTGGCGGTACCGTTGGAATAGAGGGATCGGATATATACACAAGCACCATATGCTTTTTTGGATGCGTCTGCAAATCCATGCAGCTCATACGCCACAGCTTCTGGAGAAACAACAAGCCTTGGGATTCTGATTTGCTCGGCAATTGGCAACGCCTCAATGAACGACTTGTACTCGGCACAAAGATCGCTGTCTAACTTGTCATCCCACGCAAGCTTGCTAATCCACAGACGTTGCATAAGGATCTTTGCTATTACTACTACGGGAGAAATCAATCCGAGGGGATCATACACTTTCGCAATGGTGGATAGAACTTGCCGCTTGGTAGGAATTTCAATGCTTGCAGGCGGACTGGCTAGGAAAACGAACTCATCGGTAGTGGGATTCCACAGCAATCCTAATGTTTTTATGACGTTATTGGCACCACTGTCACCGATATCTACAAACGTGTCTCTATCTTCGGGTGGAATGGGAACAAGAAGACGCTCATCGTTGGAAGACCACTTATGAAGATGCATGCCTCCGGACTGGAGCAATGCATTCAGCTGATATTGGGTTTCCTCAGCTTCCTGGAAATCGTTGGAACCAAACAGTGCGTTGTCGACGTAACAATTTTCCTCAATCACACGAGCTGCCAATGGAAATTTCTTCTTCTCATCTCGGGCCAACTGGAGGAGCGCCCTTGCGGCTAGAAATGGGGCCGTGGCGGTCCCATAGGTAACGGTGGTTAGTTCTAATACTCGAAGCTTTTGGGTAGGTGATGTTCGCCAGAAAATACGTTGCATCGGAGTGTGGATCCGGTCCACCAAAAACTGACGGTACATTTTACCAACATCTGCGCTGAAGACGTAGCAGAGCGTGCGGAATCGGAGAATTATCGTTTCTATATCAGCTTGCACAGTGGGCCCTACCATCATCACATCGTTAAGGGAATATCCATGGACCTTGGCAGAGGCATCAAATACTACGCGACATTTGGTTGTCGAGTTGGAAGGGCGAAGAACGGCGTGGTGGGGCAGGTACCATTTTCTCAAACCGGGCGGATCGTTGGACTCCTGGACCTCCTGGCAATGGTTGAGCGACTCGTACTCCTCGATGAATGCATCGTACTGGGCTTTCAGATCAGGGTTGCGAGCTAACTTTGCTTCAAGGAGATAGAACCTTCGTAATGCCAAAAAACGAGAATCAGCTAGCTGCTCAACGCTGTCCTTCAACGGTAGTTGGACCACGTAACGACCGGTTTCGTCACGACGGTGGGTTGCCAAGAAATGTTGTTCGCACTTTTCCATGTCGGTGGTCGGAACGAGCTCAGGGGCGACACTCTCTATTTCCCAGAATTTTTGCACAAGTTTGTTGACAGGATCGGTGGACACGGTGAGCGATCGAAGAACTATTTCAGACCTCAGACCTTCACAGTAATTACCCCCTACCAGCCAACCGAAGTGGGAATCATGAAGTCCGGGAAGATCGTCAGACAACTTCATGTAACCTGATTTCATAATGTCGTAGAAATGATCCATGCCAATGAGCATGTCGATGGCGTTTGCTCTGTGGAAGGTTGGATCTGCGAGTTGGATACCCTCAGGGATGTTCCAAGTGTCGATGTTGATTGTGAAGGAAGGAAGTGGGCCAGTTATTTTGGGTGATACGAGGCAAGACAGTGATAAGATAAAGTTATTGCATCTGGAGCGAACTTGGACGGTACCCATTTGTTTAACAGTGGATTTTGCACTACCAATACCAGTAATAGGAACACTCACCTCGTTCATTGACATCCTTAATGCGTTGGCCAAGGATTGCGTGATGAAACTAACCTGCGAGCCACTATCCAGGAGTGCTCTACACGTGTGTGGCAGTAGGTCTTGATCCATAACGTTGACCAATGCGGTGAGCAGGAACACTTGACTGGTTGGTTTCACTGGAACGTTGGAATGAGCGGCGTTCGTGGACGCGCCGCTGGTCGATGGCTTGCACGCTGGAACCGGTGGGTCCGGAACCTGAGCTGCTGAAGCTGACTTCGGAACTGGAACTGCTGGGCTTGGTAGTTGCTTGATTTCGCTGCTATTCTTCGGTGGCTGATCCATCTCTTCCAGATGTAGCAATGAATGGTGTCTCCGGTTGCATTTCAAGCAAGACTTCTTCGAGGAACAATCACTTACACGGTGCCCACGTCGTAGGCAGTTGAAGCAGACGTTTTTCTCCTTCACTTTGGCGATCCTTTGGCTGACCGACAACTCGTTGAATATTGGGCACTTGAACGTGAAGTGATTGTCGGCACAGAATTCACAACGCTGTTCTGCTGGGGCTGAAGTGGTAGCGGTGTTTATCTTCGATGGAAAAGGCTTGGACAGGTTTGGTTTGGTGGGTGGCCGATACTTGGACTGGCTGTTTTCACTGGATGTTTGACACCTCTCCAGGACGGATACCCGCTCCTTCAGGAACTCGATGGTTTCGTCGTACACAGGCAACTCACCTTTCTTCATGGTCGCTTCCCATAACTTCTTGGTTTCGTCGTCCAAAGCACGAGTAATCAGGAACACCACCATATACTCCGCTACATCGGCGAAATCGTTTCCCAGGAACTTGAGATTCTCGACGTGCCCATTGAAGGTTTCCACCAATGATCGCAACTCACTGTAGGATTCCTTTGCTAACTTTTTCACACCTAGCATGCTTGCCAGGTGCCGATCGATTAGTCTTCGGTGGTCGGAATAACGCTCGTCGAGTAGTTTCCAGGCATGGGCGTAATTACCGTCTGTGATAGTTTTGACGTCTATCAGACCGGCGGCGTCCCCAACGAGAGCCTTCTCCAGATGATAAAGTTTGATGCGGTCTGACTCATTGCCTTTGTCAACCACATCCTTAAACATCACCTTGAATTTCTCCCACTGCTCATACCGTCCGTCAAACGTTGGTATAGCACGCGGGAGGGAAGGTTGGATAATCAATGGCTGCTGGTTTCCGGTGGGCTGTGGCTGCTGAGCTGGCGGAACGGTAAACTTTTCGAGCCAACTCTCAAGCACCACAGACACTTCTTCGTGGAGGTCCACAAACTGGAGGTAGTAGTTGTCTTGTTCTTCACGGTTTTCTTGTTGGGACAAGGCAACGATTTCATGATGAAGCCTGGTGAACTCGGCATTTGAGTTCTCAACACTTCGCTGGTACACCTTCACTTGAGCTGGAGTCAATTCGGTGTGGTCAACTTCCGCTTGCTTCAGGATGGTTTGGATCCGGGTCACGTTTCTCAACGCCATTCCACGGTTGTGGACTAGCGCCTCGAGATCCTGCTCGGTCTTCATTTCTTTTTTGGGTGGCATTTGCACTTTTCACTCATTCACTTTCTTCGGTAATTTGTCTTTCAATTATCAAGTCAATGTTTTTAACTTTTCAACTTCTCACTCTTGTTCACTTGGTTCCTCTATGCTCTGCTCACAACGCATCGCTTCCCGATCCACTTTCACTCGTATTCTAGACAGACCTATTCCGTCGGATTGGATGCTTGCTCCTCAAAATCCGGTTCGAAGGACCAGTTGCAAATGAATACAAAATTGTTAATTGTGACGAACGTACTTTAGTTATTAAGAGGGTGGAGTCTCTTTTTGGAAAACCGCTCTTAGATTATACACGCTGTTCTCAGGCTACCCAGTAACTGGGTAGATTGCACTCACTCGTGCATGACGTATGGAGCTGTCAAAATCTGGGTAAACAATTTTTGTGTAGATTATTAGAATCTACCCAGTTTCTGGGTAATTGCGTCTTATAAAAATATCATAATGTTAAAATGGCGCGGTGTTGAAAGGTCGACTTTTGGGTACGATTTGTACGATTACGATTACGCTGGAATAATTACTGTCTTAAATTCAAGCAAAATAGAACAACAACGGAAAAATCTGGATAGTGAAGGCCACATTCCTGGCTACCAAATGTTGTACAAACATCATTTGAAATCGTACCACAATATACGATGCAGCGTTCTAAATTATATCCCTATTGCAGGTGGTGATTGCAATGTCGTATTTCATCATAAACAGTCATCAAGAACCTAACGCGTCTGATGTGGTTATGGTTGATGAAGCTAGTGAAGCAGGTTTCCATTCAAGTCCAGTTCAGTTTGGCATCCACTCGGACCAAGTACGTCATTCTTACGCTGCACGCTATGTCTGAAGGCACTTTTTTGCAACATTCATGTACCTCAGATTTTCCTTGATAGGATGTAAGTATTGATCCTAACAATCAAATCTATGATGGTTTTAAAATATTTCATCTTGGGTTTTTTGAGAAAAAGTGTTTTGAAGTTTACAAAGCCGATTATGAAGGCATATATGGACTATTGACGATACAAAACTATTACGAATTGAACAAATGCAGTTATACAAGGTTCAAATGATGATTGCATTAATCCAAATGGCATTAAATAGTTCTCTTTGACTCTCAAGTAAGATCCGTATTGATTATGTCGACTTTGACCACAGCAATTAATATTTTTGGCTAGAACAACTTCTAAATCTCTCTTCCCTCATAAGAGTAAAAGAGAAAGAAACGAGCAGGACAGTTTGAGGCAGCCACGTAATCGTAGTAGGCATTGATTTTCGTCCTGTTTCGAGTGTTTTTGTTTTTATTGGAGGTATCGTGTACAAAATCTGGAAAAAATTAAAAAAACTGCATG